AACTAATTCAATTTTAAGTTATTAGATATAAATGAATATATTGCTATCGGTGGTAAAGAATTTTATATAAATCAAATATTTATTTTTATTTATTAATATAATGACAACACAACTTCATATTTTAAACTTATTGCTATAAAACGCTCACTCGATCTATAATAAGTAATGGAAGACATATAATTACATAAGAAGTTTTAAACTAATAAGTAATTAAACACTTATTTTATTTATAGAAGTTTTATATCGACAGACCGTGAATCTGGTTACTGAAGTGTTCTAGAAATTGTAAAATTGCTATGTTAAAAAATATTTGAATGTGTATTTTGCGCAAAACCTCCGATATCAATAATTATAAATCATTTCCTATTATATGATTGGGTGACAATATTAAAAACTAGAAATTTTACGTAAAGTAGGATTTCTTGCATAACACTTCTTCGTTTCGTCCGCGTAATATACCAATAATATCATTTAAAAAATCTCTATTAAAAAACCAGCTTTTGCTTCCTTGTTCATGAGATCAAATTCGAATACCATACATAACAATCATATGTTAGTTTTAAAACTATAATGAATTGGTAATACTATAATATGACGTTAATTTTTAAAACTATGAGGTTCATCAACAACTTTGATGGTTATTAAAATTTAATTCTTTTAAATATATAGTTGTAAAAATTTCATTTTTCCATACTGGATGTCCAATATCGGCCTAAGTATTTAAATCAAATGCTGAATCGAAATGATTGACGGCGAAACTTCATTAGTATTACGACTGAGTCACAACTGACTTGAGTAACTGAACACATATTTATGAATAACTTAATAATAAAAATAACTAAAATGTACACATTGATTCGCAAGTGATGATGGATTGTAATTAAAGAAAAGGAAATAGTGTACCTAAATATTTATTAGACAAAAACGGTAATTTATGTATTGAATACATTTAAACAATAAAATGTCTATATTTATTTGATTTGATAGAAATATGTATTTTAATACTCGGATAAAGTGCATAATGAATAAAAATTTTTTTTGGGTTATGTTATAAAATACACATTCAAAAATATTCAATAACTTTCAAAAACTATATGAAATTAGATAGATTTTTTCTTGAAGCTTTTTAACTTAATCATTAACTTTATACTTGTATGTAAAACTTATGACTAAAGTCCTCATTGTAACTTCAGAGCAAAACAAAGGCTTTTCCTTCCTCACATTCCCTTTGGCATTTTATGTCGTATTCCCAGTCGGATGTCTTGCAAATTATATTTATTTCCTTTTAATAACATTATCGTTAGACTTGTCATAAAATTTAAAGACTGTGGTTTTATTGATATTACTATATTAACGATGTTAATAATTTAAGTAAAAGAAAACCTTTCCGGGTTCATGCAGTTCAATGTAACATTTGACACTGTCTCTTTGTTTATCAACAAAGTTTCATCCGTATCTTTTAATGGAGTTTATTAAATTAACAGTGGTTTTAATTAGTCTAACATAAATATAACTAAAATCTATATAATATTTAATCAAACGGATTGGGAGAAGACTTTTGGATCAATACTGCTTCATCAATAAGTTATGTTTTTTTTAAGTATTATTAAGGGACCATTCTATTACCAATAATGTCAAACATCTAATTGAAGATATATTATTTATAAAACAACTGTTAAATTGTGCTGATACATTTTTGTGCATATTCTAATTAAAATACAATTTTCAGTTTAGTTAGTTTGCTAAACATATTCCTAAAATTTAAAAAAAAAACAATATTCTGTACATTAATATTTATTTGGAAATTAAATTATAACGTGTTTTGTAGACTTTTACAATTATTATATTTTTTTTTTTATAAAGATTCATGTTTGTTTGACCTCCACAGAAACAAACAAGATTTTATACATATTATGTAAATATTTTTTTTAGCCAACCTTAAAAAAGATAATTAAAACATCATTTCAATAATAACCTTGGCGATAATCACTTTTTGCTTGATTTCGTAAAATAAGAATTACCTATCCTATTTATTATAGTTATATTTTACAACAGTTTTTTTGTTTCTATCTGTCTTATTTTGGGTAGAATTCTCCCAACATGACCATTACTGCGAATTAACCAATCTGCTCTTTATTTTCATAAAGGCCTATAGAAATTTGGACACTTAATAACACGCTTATGTATCCTTTAAAAATATGTTGTAGTTAATGATTGTTTTGGTAAATACCTTTTCATAATTAAATTCCAATACGGAAAGATAATCAATCACGATGCTGATAAACGTAACTATACAGCAAAATAATACATACCACCGTTATTATAAAAATATTTTGAAAAGCAAATTTTTTAACGGAGATAATTCTATTTATTTATCTCTTACCTGTATAAGCCTGATTAAGCCTTTGTTAAGCTTTTTAGTACAAGGATAAGTGCTGCGTGTTTACGTTTTTTTTTTTGCCAAGAATGAAAACATTTTTTAAAAATGATATAACAAAAGTTTTATAAAGTTATTTAATCACTGTCCATAGGCTCAAATGACAGAATGATGGACATTTGATCAAAAAATATACAATTGTATAGTTTTCCATTTACAACTGTCATACAGAAGTGACAATTGAATATAAAAAAAATATTCATTAAAAACCTTGATTCTGTCAGGTTTGGGTAATAGATGCGATCTTCTACCCGATCCCGTAAAAATAAATACATAGCCATACGAAAATGATTACTTTTAGTATATATGAAAACTCATGCACTATTACTAAAATAAAAGAGGAAATTATGTTAAAAATTAAAATTTTGTTATTCCCCTTTTTTATCATTTTAATTCAATTGTAACTTCAATTCAAACAGTCATTCAGACGTCAGATTTGGAATCACGATAATAGGTTTGTAACATATGGTGGATTGCCTCCATTTATATCCTTATAAAAAATCTTGCAAGACCTAGAACTTATTAGGATTATTAAAACTGGCTTTAGTTATTTCTATAAACTGATAAAAATACTAATCTTGGTTACTATAAATCCCTTAATTGACGACAGAAGAATTTAAAAATCTGTCAAAGGTCATATATGGAGGTCGAACTCACGAGAGCATTCGTCCAACGATAATAAACTAATCATATAGCCAATACAGGCATGTGGAATGTGTAAAAAAATCTTGAGGCCGTCAAAGAAGGTCGTATTCAAAATTTCGCTTATACGAGGGCATGATGTAACATAAGGTTAGCACACTGTTCCGGTCATCCGATAGCACGTAACAGTTGCGTCAAGCTTTGCTTTACCAGTTGCTGCGAAGCTTTTATATATATTTAATTTAATATGCATTATAATAATATTGAAATATTTTTATTCATACATTAAAAAGACTCATTGGGTACACTTATAAGAAATGTTAAATAAAAATTTAACAACTTATTCTATAGCAGGAAAGTCTATGTTACATACTTTTTTTCGGAATTAATTTACTCCTTAAAGGAAGACCTCTACATATAATATTCAATATGAAAATACTCACTTTCCGAAGCTCTTGTAATATAGCAAAACATATGTGTGTGTAAATTTTGCGTGTGTGCGTAGGAAAGAGTAGAACATAGCAAACAAGTTTCATTGACCCCGATACACAGATTATGTAGCTATTTTATGACTTAAATGATTTAATATTAAGTCATAATGACAAGAATCGTAATTTTATTTACAAGAAGTTGTTATATTTATTTCGTCACAAGGTAAAATAATACATATTTATATAGATCGAATTGTTTTATATATAAATGACAACTAGTGAAGAGATTTTACCTTGGTGCAAAACAAAACAATTAAATTATAGTTTGGAGATACAGTATTAAATAAATATCACTTAACAAAAGTACATACTTTCATTTAATATTAAGAAGGACTAACTAGGACCTGCCGTTCTATCCATGTTTTAATTGATTACGCACTTAATAATTAAAATGCCGAAATAATATATAAGAATTTTGAATCAAATATTACAAGTAAGCGTCTATATATATTGTACAAACAGACTGACAAAAAGTCAAATTAATATATACATTTTCTCAAACTCTTATAATGTACTAAAAATTAGCGTCTTTAAATTTTATCTATCTATATTGTACAAACAGACTGACAAAAAGTCAAATTAATATATACATTTTCTCAAACTCTTATAATGTACTAAAATAAGCGTCTTTAAATTTTACCATATTAAAACCTTTCTTAAGGCGTTATTTACTATACAAATGTTTTTTAACATATACATACGTATTTTGTCTCTAGCTGAACATAAAAAAACTATAAAATCTTTTATGTAATTGATTCGCTGCGTTTTGAAGCGTGTTATTGTTAATAATCTCGCTGAATTCCTGCTCTATTATATTTTTTTAATGAATTTTAAGATTGTTGTTCAAGATATGTATACTGTTTTTGTTTATTTTTAATTTAAAAAAATCGCATCGCTCGAAACTACGTACCTACATCGATTTTAGTTTGTCGTTGAAATTTTCAGATATTATCTGGTTTTAATGTATATATTTTTGTTTTATTTTTTTAAATAACTGCTGAATTAAATGTGGAAATTTCTAGAAGTGTTTATTTTGGTTTTTAGTATGAGTTTAAACGTAATACTAAGTTTCCATATCTTTTCGAATCCTTTTGAATCTTTAACGATTATTTATTATTATATTGCCATTTATTCTGGACGAACGTGAATCAGAACAATTTATTTAAAACTCCGTAATATTTTTATAATAGCCCTGCAATTATATACAAAAGCATTTTATATCAAATTATAATATAGCCATATATAATATAGCCATACATTATAACGTTTTTTCCTTCTTGAATGATCACTCTTTCAATTGGTTTAATTATGAAAAAAACCAAGTTAAATGATAATATTTTGTTTTTCTTTTTTCTGTAACAACATAATTTAAAACTATGATATTTTTACAGATGTAAAATGCGCGCCAACTGATTGACAGGCCTAACAAAATGGCGGCACCAGCCGTAGTTGTTGAGAGGGCTTACAAGTATTATGGCAAACAGGACAAGCCCAGCTTCAAACCAGTCCTGCAGCACTTGGACATGACCGTGGAAAAAGGAATTATGTAAGCGATATAGCCTTATAATATCATTCCAACATAATGACCTGATTTAAATTTCAGTCCAATATTTAAGAACTGACCTCGATCTACAACAAAAACCAATTTTTTTAATAATTTTTGCTTATTTACACCCTTATATATGGAAAACAAGATTATAATCTGCGTATGACATTGACATAGCTAAAATATAATGACATTCTTTTATAATATTTAACATCGTTAATTTCATTCAAGGTCCTCTGGTTTAAACATAAAAAAATATATATTTTTTTTTATCTCTTAATTCAGATTAGGCTCTTGTGAATTAATGTTACATGAAAAAAATATTCATTAATATATATATATGCGTCATTGTTTGAATAATTTATATGAAAATACGTTTGGAGGTGTTAATACTACTTCAAATATAATAATTTTATTGATATATGGTAACGCTGAGATTTATATGTCATCAATAGACAACAGAAAATAATTATGAAGGTAGATATAAAACTATTACCTAACTCGATTTTTTAATAGCAACCTAAATGATAGACTTGGTAATAAGTAAGACCTGAAGAAATTAGTTGGCAATAGGAAGCGTATTTTGCTACAAGTCGACTACATACACGTATGTATATGCTTGAAACTATTAATTGTATGTAATTTTGTTTTCACATTTTCCAAGTTGGTAATCAGTAGTGTAACTAACTAAGATATTCATTCGTTTTATTCAGTTTTATATGAAATGAAGGTTTTAACAGACCTTCAGTTTAACATATAGCCAATTATTATTAATAAATTGCTATCAGCTAAAAATTCAAATTCCAAATACAAAGTCAACAAGTTTTTGCGGCGAATTAATGATATGTTGTTTAATGTCTTTTAATTATAAGTATGTTGACCAATAAATTATGTAAATTTAAATTCAGAGATTATTATTATGTCGAATATATCAGTAACTTTTTTGTGGTATAATAGGCTTGTCGCTAAAATTTTATTCAACCAAATGACCAGGCATGGAATTAAGTTAAGAGATATTTAGGTTTTAAAATTGTGTCTTATAAACAAAGGCGGATGTTAGTGTTTATAAATTTGGATTCTCATCAAATATAGTACATATGTATAGCCGATAAGTTTAGAAGATACATGTCATCTTTGAAATAGATATGGCCTTCTTGGACCCTCTGGCTGTGGAAAAACAACGCTTCTCTCATGCATAGTCGGAAGACGAAAGTTGGACAGTGGTGAAGTTTGGGTGCTTGGAGGAAGACCAGGGGAGAAAGGCAGTGGAGTTCCAGGGCCCCGAGTGGGATACATGCCACAGGTATTTTAAGAGTTCCACGATTCTATCTTAGCTTTAACCTTGCTGAAAAATAGTGTGTAATTTCTTTGGAAATTCATTTATGTTTATAAACTTAGTGGTTTTTATACTTAAGAATTAATTTTCTTCATAAAAATAACTGGTCTTTAATATACATAGGTTACGAAATTCAACTACCACGCCACGTAGTTTTAATAAGGGATAATGAGTTTTTATGGTTGTAGCACCCTAAAAACGAAAAACAGATAAAAATGATCAAGTAACTAATAGACACTAAGGATGACTTACGTCTCAATAAAGATTTCTAACAGAAACCCTTTTTGGTTTATTTATTTTCGAATTTATGGTAGGTTGAATAGGTTTCTTTGTAGAACTTTATAGTTTCAGTAGGACATTTTTTAATTCTGATGATATAGTTTTACATGATTCAAAAGAAGTTTGATTATATTTAAACTACTATAACTCATGTATGTATGTATATTTAAAACTTCATTTCTCAACGACTCTGTGCGAGTAAAAAGGGATTTAAAAAATTAAAATAAAAAAGTCAAAGTTGAAATAAATTTATTACGTCAGCTATCTGCTAGTGCGAATTGCGTCACAACCGTTCAAGCTGTACCAAAGTTTAGCCGAAACAAACATAAACAAGTAGAAATAGACAAAATAAAATAAAAGTTTTTTTAGTGTAAAACATACCTTATTTAAGGCATATAGTAAAAAGTACCTTTTAGAACATCACAAACAGACACTACAATATTTTTTATTCTTACAGATGTACTGATCATATCAATTTCATAAAGAATTTAATTAGTAACGTAAAAGAATAATTTATTTATGTACGTCATAAAATTATAGAAACACATTATCGATGGCAATAAAGATATAAAAATACTGGTTATTCTTTCTTAAAAGTTATAAACTGACCCCATTATAAATTTTTAGGGCCCCAATTTTTTAAACGTATACATATGTAAGTTGCTTTTTATGGGTAATTTTTTTAGTTCATCGAAATCGTCATTTTGATAGTATTGGAGTAGGATGAAAAAAATTTGAAAACAAATTTATTATCCTTTTTTTTTAAGGGGAAAATCATCAAATGACCCCTCTTGCCTGGGTGGGGCAAGAGAGAGTGTCAGACTCTTACTGACTAAAAACCCCCCGTACCTACTCCTGCTCCGATCCTGGCCGCGGTACATCATTGCGCTTACACCCGCGACCTAAATTTATTATCCTTAAAGTAACATTTATATAAGGAAAATAACTCACTTAACTAACGAAAGTAGTTTTAAATGCAAATTAAATAGATTAGGTCTACTCAGATTGGTATTCCAGTAACTAAACCCGTTTGTGATTTTATTGAATTAATATTAATTTGACTGATTGGTTATGAATAATTAATTATCTAGAAGAATTATGTTGTCAACCTATCCTATAATTAGTTTATTTTTCCTCTTCGTTTCTGATTTAATATCACTCAGATATTGTAGAACAACCATTAAAACCTTCTTCACTAACTTTCGTAAAATGAAATTTGATTCATTGTCACAAATTTTTTCGACCAACTATCGCATGTCGCCTTATCGTCAGCCGCAGAGAAGAAGTACCATAAAAGTCACGCGGCAGAGCAACCAAGGACAATATGGTAGTAATCATGATTATATGACATTTATGTTTCATTAATTTGACTCCGCTAGATTTCTGGGGTTTACGAGATTGGTTAAATAAAATACTGTGATATATTATTCAAAATGTATTAATAACCTGATTTTTTTTTAATTATGTGTTCCATATCTCAATACCCTGATGGAAAAAATATTGATATTTATATATTTAGTGTAGTATCAAAATATGATTAAATATATGTCCCACAATCAATTCATTTCCAAATTATTACTCTTAGATTTTCATATCCCAAATCGATTGTTATCTCCTAAATATTGAGTTAAATGACGAATAAAACGTCTTATTCCAAATAAGTTCAGTCAGCAATCTTAAATATGAAATCGCTTTAATTTTTTTTAAATATAAATATAAAATAACGCGAAATTATAATTTTAATAGCTATTATACCTTTTACCTACATATAATAAATTAAAAAAACTTTTGTATTTATCTCATTATTAGAATAATCTTAGTGTTTATTAATATGTTATTAAGTGATGTCACCAGCTTTAACTATAATTTACAAACAATCGTTATTTATTTAAGTATTGTATGTGAAAAACTCATAAAGAAATAATGACTACACAACATAAAAGTGAGACATCATTAATTTGTAATTTGTTTAAAGAATATATTCATTTTAAATGAAAGATATTTATGACTATATTTATTATTAATGATTGCAAATTTTACTTCGTTCTGGCTGAAAAAAATAAAAAATTTAAGTCAAATGTAATAGAGAATTATATACTATATGTGTGTAAATGACCGTTAGGGAGTTTTATTAGCAAAAATGTTGGGCAAATATAAGCTTACGTTGCTAGTCTTGAGTCAATGTAGCGAAAACATGTTAATAACGTTACTTTTTTGTTTAAACTTGACAAACAATCAATAGAAGTTGTCTCTATGATATGGGAATTTTCCCATAACATTAAACTTAATTCAATACATCTTTTTCCCCAGGATATCGCTCTTGTAGCGGAGTTTTCAGTACGAGATGCTGTATACTACTTCGGTAGGATCTATGGGATGAAGCCTAAGAAACTCCAAGAACAGTTTGAATTTCTGACCAGATTGCTAGAGCTTCCAAAAGGCGGTAGACTCATTAAGTCACTTTCCGGAGGACAGCAACGACGGGTCTCATTGGCCGCTGCACTGGTCCACGAGCCTGAACTTCTCATTTTGGATGAGCCTACAGTTGGACTGGATCCAGTCTTAAGAGAACGGTGAGTTATCGATGATTAAGAGTCTTTTTACAGTTGTTTGACCTGCACTGATCAGAAAGAAAAAAACATTTACATGTTTTTCAAATCCATTATAATTTTTGTTCGTAATGCAACGTATTTCATTAAATCCCGTGTTCACAATTTAAATCTAAATTATTATCACCTTAACAAAGATTGCAGGTATTTTCATTTAGAGATTATGGTAGTTATTCCCAAAGAGGCTTGAAGTCAGGCAGGCGGCCGGTCGTACAAACAATTAGCCAAAACTATTTACAACATGTAAGGCAGACCCTGGCTAAAGCTAGGAAATTGCCAGGAATTACAAGATTATGGTAGTTACCGTGATACTGAAAGTATTAAAGTATTTTCGGTGCGATATCGTACCATGACACTGTGTCTACTTCTAACTTCAAATGCAATAACCACTACGGATTACTTTGTCAGTAGGTTTGTCAGTTAATCGCGCACTTGCTCGTTTAGTTGATTGATGACTAAGGAACCATTTTTTATAACGTTTAAAAAATTGAATTCGTTCTTTATAATTTACTTTAAATTATATACATTTCATTCCATTTGAACCCTATTTAAAAACGTATCAAACATTAAAAGTTTGCTCTTGTAAAAAGCTTTGTTACATTGACCTTCAAAAGACTTAAATTATTTTGTTAAATTATAAGCTGTAAACTCAAAGAAAAATACAACATAAAAATATAAAGATATATTTAGCTGGCTTAATAAGCACCTCTGTTAGTCAGACAATTTAATCTTTATATAATATTTTGTTTATTGCATCGAATTTGTATTTTTAATGAGAAATCTTTAATCCTCTTTAACAATTTATCTTCCACCATAAAATTTTTGTTTTTGTTATTGAATTTACATATTGCTGTTGTTAATATTTTAGGAAACAAACTTGAAAAGGAATAAAAACATTTAATTTTTTTTAAAAAATTCGCTTTCCTTTCCTTTTTAAATTGTTAATACATATCCAAGAGGAATCAAAGGATGCTATTGAATTAAGCTTATACCTTTTCTATATTTCCTATTGTGGTTACATGTCAAAATATGTCATAATTATTCACTTTTCTGCAAGTGGCTGGAAGAGTTATAATTAACTAAAAAGCTAGTAAAATAACGAAGCAAAGGAGCTTGTGATTGATAAAAGCCTTCGATAGAGCATTAATTCATATAAAATAGTATGATTTGAATTTATAATTATAGTATAACCTTCGAAAGGCTAAAGAATTTTTATTCGTACACGAATTTCATAGTTTTTGAGAAGTGAATGTTTTTAAACTATAATGAATGTAAAGGATCGTTATTCATACGCCGCTTATATAAGATTGATTTAAATAATTTAAATTATAAATAAGACTCATTTAAACAAATATTAAGTAGAAATATAAAAGTTATAAATTTTAGAAACTTTTACAAATTGTCAAAAGCATTCTTATCTTTACTGTACAATAAAAGATATAAATCACTTTACTATACTTTTATTGCTAAATAGATAAAAGGAAAAGTTTATATATTATATAACTATAATATACAAAAATGTTATGATAAATTTGAATTGTAATGTCTTTCAAATATGAAAAAATAAAATTTACAGATTTTAAGTAATAATCAAATAAAATTATGATGAAAATATGATTGTGATTTTAACAATTTCAACGGAAACAAAAGATTTATAATATAAATGCAAATTAGACTGTTAAACTCATTGCGGATTAATTACGATTATGTTCTTTTAAACTGTAGATAAAAGAAGAAATAAACTCAATACTACTAAGATGAGTCGAATTTTTTAAAAGATATGTAGTTCCTTGTTATTATTATTCTTATTTTACTTGGTTTTTTTCTAATATAAGGTATTTCTAAAAATAAACAACATGTGAAAATAACTGCGGAAACTGTCCTGGCATATTATTTTCACCGTACCGAAATAATTTGTGTCATCAGCCTATCAGAAGCCTACTGCTGAGCAAGGCCTCTTCTCGCATGGAGAAGGTTTGAGCATTAATCGCCACGCTTGCTCAAGACGGGTTGGTGATTTCAAACTTATAATTGAGAAACTATAATAATTTATTGTAATATAATGTAAATGTTTCCCTTAAATACATAAATAAATAAACTGAGAATCCACTTAAGATATGAAGAGGATTCAACAATAATCTATTCTAAACTACACTTCGTTAAAATAAATATAGAATACCTATTACTGTTCAAATAATTCATGAACACGTGTAACTTATTCAATTTTGCGATAACAAACTGGTATTCTTTAACGTGTCTAATAATTTTTGCCAAAGGACAAGTCAATTTTTTAACGTTTAACCAGTTTTATGATAGGGCTATGAACTAGCCACTCAGTCACACATATAATCAGGAATTGGTTACATCATACAACTACGATCTCGTAAAGTAACTTTTAGAGAAATTAAAATTTTTAGAGAATTTTAATCCTTTAGTTAAATAAAGTGATGGTATAAAATTAAGGAAAAATTCGGGATTGTGCTTAGGAAGTCACGTTTTCTTATTTTAAATCTTTGAATGGATCATAATTTTTTAGAAAAAAATATATGAATTTATCACCAAACTTTGAAGAAGAATAAAGAAAATCTTTTCATAAAGGAAAAAAATATACATTTAAAATTCATACTGTAAATAATTTATCTTGTATAATATCACACTTCTGTTTTGGGTCATCGCATATAAATAGCAATAAAAATCAAAAAATAGGACCATATGTTTTAAAATTTTATATTATCAATATCAAAATTTTACATTAATTTAGTGACGTTAAAAATATGTTACATTTACAAAAATCGTTATAGTATTATTTTATCTAATCGATACAATATGTTTTCGCAAAAAGTTGTTTTTGAAATCAGGCTAAAGCATACATAATATATCACGATTGTCTATAAAAGGCGTCAATATACTTCAAACTAACTTACCTTCAATTATATCAATAGTTATGATTATAAATAATCTTCATGTTAAATACAACTTTAAAATATTAAGTCAAGGTATTAACCTTGTAATCATTTATCATATCCACTCTCTGTCAAGGAAATAGTACTTACTTGAAACAATTATATTACGTTTTAATTAATCAAGTTTCTTTAATTAATTAAATTGACAATCATTAGCAATGTCACAATTCATTGTTTACATGGATTCATACAAAAAATAGGCTTCTGGAAATCGCTATATCTTTTAATAAAATGTAGCTACATATGTAGGTTAAAATCAGTATAAGGTTTGGCTTATAAGTTCTAGATTTCTCAAAGGATATTAAATGGCGTAATTATGCATTAATTCAGCTATGACTATTAAATCGTGATGTTTTTTTACACCAAAAAGCGGACTGCATTGTAAACTAATTAGGGTTTGCTATGCTAGTACTAATGGTATTGTATGGTAATTTACATGGTTTAAATTAGGAAAAGATATCACTGCTTATATGAATTTTGCCGGAATTGGGATACAATTAGTCTCATTTTATTATCATGTCCAAAAATTTGTTACCTACATGAAGATCTTCCTCCCAATATATATACTATTTTTTTAGTCCTTTTGTTTCATGTTTAATTGTTAAATAGTAGGATTTAAAATTATAGTTGTATGTTATAAGCTCCCACACAATATACAGGGTGACTGGTGAATTACTATCAATATTTAAGGAGCATACTCGGTACATGATTCTCATTCGAATTATGTAAAAAAAATAGGTACTTAATTTTTGACCAAATTTCCGTATAAATAAATAAAGTGTGTACACGTTCTAAGTGTTCCATGTGTGGACGCGTGCGGCGGCGTGCCGATACAACAACACGCCGCCGCGCGCGAGTGTAGGGTGTAATCTGTAGGGTGTCCATACGATGCGTAATTAATTACATAACTTTTGGTTAACTTTACTTAGAAGTTTATTAATATTTATGTTATATTAATTTTTATTTTGTCATATATGATCGTCAAATATCACGTCCTCAAATATCGATAGTAATTCACCAGTCACCCTGTATATCTTATTTATTTAGTGCATTATTTCTTGCTTTCTTATTTTGTTCCGAGTGCTAGGGAAAATCTAAACGGACTCTCTAAAAGCACTAATAATTAATCAGTTAAGACAAATCATTACCACTAACGAAAATAAATAAAAGATAGTTTTTGGTTTTTTATTTCATTTTAGATAAACATATTTTTTTTTTATATCTAAGATTAAAACATCACATCCCTTATATGATACTTATATAAGCTGTAGCTCATTTTTTTATAATAAATAAACATAAGAATCTCCTATAAGAACAGAAACAATATAAGAATAATTATATATTTTATAACAATAAAAAAATGACAGGCTCTTCAATATTAAGCTGTTAATCTAGTGTATGTCATGAAAAGAATAATTTGTCCACAGAATCTGGGAATTTCTGGCTGAGCTCGCGAGAGGTGGTACAACAGTGATCATCACTACTCACTACATTGATGAAACGAAACAAGCGCATAAGGTCATAGAAATATAGTTATTTTATTCTTAAACAGAGGTCAAATTTAATATATGAATATATTAATAGTAAACATTTATGATAAATTTGTTTATTATACTTTTCTCGCCTTTAGTATATAACTATTGCTAGGATTATCGTGCTGTTGAAATTTACATAGCATTTTTCTCATAATTCTTTTAGTATTAACTTCATAATTATTTCATTGTTCCATTGTAAGTTATAAAGTTACATATAATTGTGTAAATGTGTATTGAAATGATTAGATTCTGGTTATTTTAACCTATAGGAGTAAATATTTATATTTCGGCCTATAGAAATTTAAAATGATTGACTTGTTAAGATTTTTTTTATATTTGCTACAGTGGTTAAAATGAAGTGAGATGGCATAAATTTATCCATAAAAAAAATGAATAATAAAAAGTATTAATATATTCTTTTGAAATTAAAAAAGTGGATTAATTTAATAGTTTTAAAAGCATACTAACTTGTGATTTTACATAAAAATTAATTAAAAATAATTTCATAGTCGAATCAATTCGATATGCTATCTTCCAACTTCATTATTGCAGAACCGGTTGCAATTTGTATTGAAGTCAGAATAAAAAATAATTAAAACTAAAGATTTTCTTGTTTTACTACGAATAAATATTCTTATTTATGTAAATAATTAGCATCGAGATAAATAATAATTTGTATTTAATAATATTACGCAATTTTTTCATTATGTTTGAAATGTATATCGAAGTGAAGTCAAAGTGTACAGGAAGACTTATGTTAGCAAGTGCTGGAAGGAAAAAGTATTGTATTTAATTTAAATATACTACTTTAATCTTATAGATTGGTCTTCTACGAGATGGTCAGCTACTAGATGAAGATTCTCCCGAGGAGATTCTCCGAAGATACAATTGCAATACTCTTGAAGATGCCTTCCTAAAGATGGCGATGCGACAAACTGAAATGAAACATCGAAGACGACCAAGTAAGTAATTTTAAATTTTCAGCACCAAATTATCACTTATTGTTCAAAATATTAGTAGATTTCCACAAAGTAAATTTCCATTTAAATCTCCTGCATAAGTGTTTAATCAAGTTCATATATTTGGTTCCTTTAACTTATTCTCATTAAGAAACAAAAAATACTCTGTTAATTATAAAAATCTTTCATAATTATTTTACTTACTTAATTAACAATACAATAAATAAAATCCATTACAAAAAATATTTCACACATTTTAATGACTTTCAAACTACACATTGTAATGCTCATAAAAACACTTTTATCAGTAGTTTTTAATTTCATAATAGATTACAAGTAAAGTAATGAGAAAAATATGTGATTGTGAAAATAGAAGGATTGCGTGTATTGCTTATTAAAAAAATGAGAAAAAAATATATAATTGTTGTTTCATGTGAACTCCGTCAGAACTGTAATTAATAAGCTGTAACTAGAAGTCTTATTACAGTAATCATAATATTCAATGGAATTTTCTGTAGATAACAAAATAAATATTCAAATAGGTTCAAACCTTAAGAAATTTCAGATGTTTCCTTCATCACTATAACTTTTAGGTAAATATGAAGCTTTCAAACATATCGTTTTAATATAAATGAAACTTAAATTTTTGGATTGGATTTTTAAAACTACATACTTACGACGTTTCGATTACTTTGCTGCATAAATATTAGTCTTATTTAAATGAATTCTCGCGAAAGTCAGATTTATAGATATATCTATCTATAGATCTCTATATTTCTATCTATAAATCTCATTATAAATATTTGTAATTTCAGCTCTCACAGCTTCTCCAGATGTTATACCTGAGAGCAGCATAGTAAATGACAGTCGATACCAATCAAGAGAAGAGTTTAATGTAGTAACTAGTAGTACCGACGTAAGTAAGATCAAAAACTTATAAAATACTGAATAATTGTGTTATTATAAAATCATATTTATATGAGCCCAGGCTATCCTCAAAGATATTAATAAAATAAAATGTTCTAATATATTTTGTAATATTGCAATTTTTATAATTAGCATAATTAGCTCACAACCGAAACAAATTTACTAGCTTAGATTATTCATATCATGAGAAATGAAAGATTCTAAAAAAAGAGATAATATAAGTACTGAAATAATTTTGTAATGGTCTTATTTTGCCAAAGCTATATTGAGTTACTTATTAAAGTTTGTAACACTAATTCTGATTCTTATAACTCAGGTTCTAACTAAAAAAGAGAAGCCACAGCACATACCGAGCAGTTCCAAAGGCAGATACAAAGCAGTGTTTATTAAGAGTATACAACAGTTTTCACGGCATCCTGGGTAAGCTAACAACATGCAAACTATTACCTACTTATGTGGAGTTCAGGAATTTGTGATAACAATAATTTAAACAGGTATAATTTTTGATAAAACATCAAAATACGCTATATACATATATATCAGTGTGTAAATACATAGAACGCTACCGAATAGTCTTTGATTTCATGTTATATTATTATTTTACATTTAATTCATAACACGTATCATCGGACGTCTTCCGACAACTGATTTGGCTGTTGACGTGACAGAATTAAATTAGTAACATGTGACGGAAATCTTCCTTAATAATTTGTATTAATATTATAACCGCCGCATGATACTGCAGGATAATATATGGATACAGAAATATATCAAGGATTCTTGCTTTCTTCTATAAGAAAGGAATTTAATTGATCAAGTACATACTGTTGTTTCTTATTTAATAGAATTGAATCAATAAATTGAAAACCAAAAAATATCATCTAAATATTTGATTACTTATCATCACTGTTCGGTTACTAAGTGGTCAACGTGTTAAAATGTATAAAACAAGATAAAACTCTCAGTCGCTTAGTTTCCAAAACTAGATATTATGTATATATTCTCATTAACATAAACACTTTTAACTACATTTCATATTGAATACCTACTGTATCCAAAAATACTATGTTCAAAATAAAAATATGTATATATTGGATGTGATCGCAATATATCTGCTAAAGAAACTGGTTCGGGAAAACGTGTTGAAATATGTTAATATGTCAATTGCTTTGAAAGCACGATGAATACTCATTATAATGAATGAATGATGAATACAAGGAAAAATGAATGAATACTCGCGAAAGACTTAGATCTCATTAACAAGGAAAGATTTAATATTATCTTTCATATTTCAATATACAATATACAATACTTGATTCAACAATAATCTTATATCAAAAATCTGTCATTAATGCTCATATAAGAAACCTGTATTGTGATTATTATCTGATTGTCATTTATGTCACCAGGGGTCTAATATTCTCGGTGCTATTCCCCATCATCCAAGTTGTTGCGTTCTTCCTGGCCGTGGGTCATGACCCTCGTGACCTACACGTTGCTGTCGTCAATTATGAAGCTGCTACGTCACCATGTAAGCACATCCACTATTGAAATAAAGCTGTATACGTTAATTCTCTCCTAGCTACTAGCTGTATAATGAAGATCAAAACAAAACAGATAATTGATTCGGGATTCCTGTGAAAAGAAAAATACATACATAGATTTCTACTTATACATCTATTTAATAATACTGTTCCTTCATTATTAATATTTATGAATAAAAATCCAAAATTATTAATACATAATAGTCATCTAATTAAGTTTGGATAACTTATATATATATTTTTGAGAATAACGTATTGTCTGTATGTACATACTTTCATATTTAGCGTTTATTTTTATAATTTTTCTCTATACATTTCCAGTGGGTTTGGATGTATGTAAGAATGGAAGTCTAACAACTGTGATACAAAGGGAAGACGAGACATGCGAACAATATATGCTAAGCTGCTGGTTTTTAGAGGAAATGGAAAAACGAAAATTGTATCCTGTAAGTGACCAATTGAAAAATTTACTGTTTATAATACTTGATTATAATATGAACTAGTTTTTGGATTCATATGTAAAAAAAACAATGTTTTTTTCAAGTAAAGCATTGTTAGAACTAAATAAAGAGCTAATCTAACGGTCATATTGTTGTCACCGTTACTTTAACACGGCGTTTAAAATTAAATTCGTCAAAGCTATTCTTATCTAATTGTTCATTTGACTAAAACAATTCTAAATATATTTTTTGAAAGAAATGTCTTCGTATTATTGTTTTGGTTTAATTAACATTATAAGTGGTTATGACTGTAAACAATAAAGTTAAGATTGTAAATAAAATAATTCTGGATATTTTATAATATAACATACAAGCAATAAAAATTAATTTCAGAACAAATAACTTATACGATAATGTTAATTTTACTTAAAATATCAAGTTTTTAACAAGTATAACCAATTATCGATTAAAATTGTGCTAACTAATGCTTTCGTTAACGCCCCAGACGACATATAACTCGACCGAAGAAGCAAAACAAGCTGTAGCGACTCGCAAGCTGTATGGCGCGATCCGTTTCCCTGCCAACTTCAGCTTAGCGCTTGGAATACGAGCTGCTGAAGGCTTCGTGGGAGACAGCATCCTCAACGACAGTACTATCAGCGTTTGGCTCGATATGACCGGTATATTTATTTGCTACTAGTTTTTGCTCAAGACTTCGTCTGCGTTATTTTCAGAATTAATAATGTACAGCTGACCAGGCGAAATCTATTCCACCTTAAAGACAGTAGATAAGAATATTTTGAAATTGATCTAGTTATTTTATTCTTTTCCAATCGGATGAAAAGTATCCAATGTTCTTTCACTTGTTCTAAGCTACGAATATCTCTTCAATATTTTCGGTCAAACCCGTACAGCCGTTCTTGAATTATAAAAAGTGTAACTAACACGACTTTCTTTTATATAAAGATTTAAAGACTATAATAGTTTTTATTGGAACAAATGTTACAAATATTTCGTTTCTAGTAAAAAAATTATTTAGTTGTGACTATAACCTTGGTATTTTTCAGATCATCAAATATCACATTTCATAAAAATGCAACTCCACAAAGCTTATGAACAATTCGCTCGTCGAACCATGGCTGCTTGCGGAAAGAATGAGGACCTCGTGCAGGTAAATATTAATGGAAGATAAATTCTAAATATTTAGTTTCTAATAATTGTTAGACTAGACCTTGTAGCATGTGATTGATTGGTTTTAAACAAGAAATATATTGGTTTTTCCACAATAGAGATATCAACTTTACTGTATCGTTATTATAAAAAAAATCTATTCGTATATACTTGATTTGCTGCATAAGCTTTAGTCTTGACTGGTTAATTTGATACGCCTTTTTCATAAATTTTAACTACATATAAGAAAAAAGTAATTTGTTAGTCATGTTTCTAGTGTTCATATGTATTTAAATATATTATTTTTATAACGTTTCAGATTCCAGTGAGATTTGAAGAACCCATTTACGGGTCGATGAATACTGAGGTGGTTGCTTATATGGCTCCAGGGGTTATGGTCACGTAAGTTATGAATTATATTACATATAAGATCATCTAAAATATATTAACAACAATCAAAATTAATTCCTTATTTTTAAGTCTCAGTGTCTTTTCTTTATTAATGACACTGAGGCCATCGTAAAGAGTAAAAGATTAAAAAGTTTTTTATACTATTAATATTACCAAAAAACTAGATTTTTATGGTATTAATTATTATTTACTTATAACAGTACAAGGACAACTGGGGCCCAGTTATCATTATAGTGATTAATTTTGCCATAACTCTTTACCCTATGAAAGCAAAGATACGGGAGACATGTAGTTAAATAACACAAGCAAAAATAAATGTATATGTTATGACAAATCTAAAAACATAGTGAATTTAAATATAAATAAATGTTTCTAACTGCTACATAACCCACAACTATGTATGTTTTTATAACATGTAATCTATGTTCATGTGTAATTTCTTTTAATATACAGGGTGACTGGTGAATTACTATCAATATTTAAGGAGAATACTCGGTACATGATTCTCATTTGAATTATGTAAAAAAAATAGGTACTTAATTTTTGCCCAAATTTCCGTATAAATAAATAAAGTGTGGTCACGTTCCAAGTATTCCAAGTGTGGACGCGTGCGGCGGCGTGCTGATACAACACTACGCCGCCGCACGCGTGTGTGTGTGTGTGTGTGTGTATACCTAATCTGTAGGGTGTTCACACGATGCGTAGTTAATTACATAACTTTTGGTTAACTTTACTTAGAAGTATATTAATATTTATGTTATATTAATTTTTATTTTGTCATATATGATCGTCAAGTATTATGTCCTCAAGTATCGATAGTAATTCACCAGTCACCCTGTATTTTTTTGCGGTTTGAGGGAATTATTATAGCAACTAAATAAGTATATAGTTTCCAAATTCTAAATCAATTTATTATTATTAGTATAATCTTCTTTCTGGCTGCGATAATTACGTCAACTCTTATGATCTCCGATCGTCTTGAGGGCGTGTGGGAGCGAAGTGCGGTGGCCGGAGTGCGACCTAAGGAGATGTTGCATGTTCATATAACTTTACAGAGCTTGGTCATTCTTGTACAGGTAGGTTTTATTATGATATATTCTTAATGATAGGATGACTTGATTAGAATTAATTTGTACTCATCATCAACATTTTTACACATATAGTCTTTGATTGTTATTTTTCTCACTGAACAGTCCCATCGTACTTTGGCGATTGTACTACGTTCATTTTAATTAGCTATGTCCTTAATCCATTATCATTTCTTTTCGATATTAACCATTATATTTTTTACAAAAAATATATGTTTCTTTGCACTTAAAACTAAGTTTTTTTTTCTTAGGAAAAATGAAAGAAACGTTATATGAAATATTTAACACTGGTTTTTCTGTGAGTGTAAAATATCGAAACTTCTAAATACCTTTAATATTTAACACTAATACCAGTCAATCTTATTACTTAGTATCAAACAAAAACTAAATTCATCTAAAATTATGTTACAGACATTCGAGATGATGATTGTAGCGTTTATGGGCTACAAGCTGCCGTTTAACGGCTCTTTATGGACCTGTGGCGCGCTGCTTTTCCTTCAGGGCCTCGGAGGAATGTGCTATGGCTTCCTATTGTCTGTATTATGCTCGAGCTTTACTGTCTCTTTCTTTATAGCAACTGGCAGCTTCTATCCAATGATATTGCTCTGCGGTAAGTACTTAATAAATCACTAAAAATGTGGAGACCATTTCGTATTTCAACAGCTGGAATGGTAGTTAACGATACTGAGAACAACGAAACCTATTCTATTGGATTTAATTTGTCGTTGTTTTTGTTAAAAGTTATAACTCTAAGGTTTCTTGAAAATAGTTGAAGACGTCAATAGTGTTATATTATGTTGATTACGTATTTTGAATGATTATTATTATGAAATAATTATGTCACCTATTCAATATGTATTTTAGTTTGTTTTAAGTGTTTTGTAGACTATATCCCACAGTTAATTCTAATTTTGAATAGGATTTTGTAATTCACTAGAAAAAAGTGGGTTTTAATATGAAATATAAGAAAATATGTAGAAAACTTAAAATGTAATATAAATTAAATTCTAAAGATCATTTATATATGTTTTTTTTTTATTTTCTAGGTATTCTCTGGCCTCTGGAGGGTATGCCAGAAGCGCTACGCCTCTTCTCTTTGGCGCTGCCGTTCACTCTGCCTTCAATATCCTTACGAGATATGATGGAAAAAGGGTCATCTATCACCAGCCCAAGTGTTTACACCGGATTTTTGATAACTTTAGCGTGGATTGTCGGTACTTTAGCGTTATGTTTTCTGAGACTAAGGTTTCGAAAGACTTAATATGTAATATTTAACTTGTGATTTTGTATGTTTATATATTATATAAGATCCAACGTTTATGTGCCTTATGCGCTTTCAACTTTAGGCTAACAAAGTGAACTTTCTTTTTGTGATTACATAAACTAAAACTCAGACTCCGCTCAAATTGAAAGTGTAATATTTATTGACTTTGACATTTTCAACAATAGATTATGGCACAAACTTGTCCGGTGATATTTAGGTATAACTATAGGTATAACTATGAGCTCAAAGCTCACGGGTAGCTGTACATAGCTTGATTAGTGTAATCTGGTAGAAAAAAGTAATATGGTTAAGATAAATTATAATGTATTGGCTGTCGTGAGATCAAAGTTTGATTTTCCATTTAGTTTTTAATTCTTTATACAATTTTTGTAAAATAAAGGTGCAGTTTATACATTTTTTATGTTTTTATCTACCTTACACTTATACTAGTCCTTTTATGGCATTTAATAAAATAATTAAAATTTTATTTTGTCAATTATATACAATAATAGTTCTATATCAAATTTATATATCATATCTTTTTCCAATAAGATATATACATAGTATATATTATTATAATTGGTAAAAGATATAATATTGTTGATTATTATCATTACATACTTATTCTATAAAGCAACTTAAGAAATTTGATTTTCTTTATCACATCCATCTATTTTGTTTCTACTGCCTTGTAATTCTGTTTGAATTTCTTGAAAAGTCTTTCCTTTAGTTTCTGGCAGAAAGATGGCTATTAGAGATCCAATAAGAACGCACATTGCTGCGAAGAAAAAATAGGTTGCAGCTGCCCCTGCTACTAATGTTACTATAGGGAAGTATTTTGTTGTAAGGAATATCGTCAGTGTTCCCATCAGTAGACTTAAAGATACACCTAAAGCTCGGCTTTGGCTGTCAAATAATTCAGCCATAACCAACCAGATCAATGAGCCGATACCTTAAAGAAATATAATGATTAATATTGAATAATTTTATGAATATCTGGTTATATTGGATTTTATTAACTGTATGTAAACTTACCGGAGCTATAGAAAAAAATTACAAGTATTAACGATATAAGAGGTATATAGTTCAAAAATCCGGAAACAGCAAAACCGTTTGATTCACTGACTTTAAAGAAAGTTCCTAAACCGATCTGCAAAATAAACAATATAGATAAGAATATTAAAAAAACGTTAAATTATAAATAAATACTCATCCCATCCTTTAATAAGAATACTCACCAATCCCAAAAAGATCCCTAGTAAAGAGGAAAGAAGAATTTTCCGTCTGCCAAACTTATTGGAAACCAAAGTAGCACAAAGAGCAGCAAATATTTGAATACAGCCAATAACAACTGAAGCTATATCTGATCTTATCTTAGTCCGAGTGGATTCAATAATTGTTTGCAAATAAAAAGACACAGCATTGAATCCCGTTAAATTTGAACCAACACATAATAAAATACTCAAGGACAGAGATTTTAGAAATACTTTATTTTTTAGTAACGCTATCCTATCCACTTTTTGTTCTTGGCTCCATAATTTGTAGTCTTCAATTTCATTTTTAATTAGTGAGTCAGATTCGCGGAAAAAGATTAAAACCTTTTTAGCTTCGTCTTCTCGCCCTTAAAAAATAAATCGTAAATGTATTAGTGAAAAATTTTAGGAACAAACTGATATTGTATTGTTAATTCACTTGAAGCAGATATGTACCTTTTGAATATAAATAATACGGACTATCCGGGAGAAACAGCATCGGCACATTTGTCACTGCGATCACTGTAGCTATAAATATATTCAGTGCCTGATATGATACAAACGGCCCGACAGACAAAATAATAACTATTCCTAGACAGGAAAAAAGTTGCAATAGTGTGCCCAAGGAACCGCGATGTTCTTTCTGAAATAAATCATTTTTTAATATGCAGGATTTGCGGAATTACACATTTCAAATATTTTTCGGATGTCACTACGTGATTTTATTATTTTAATTTCATGTTTAAACGGCATTTCAACTACATATTTTATAGTAACCGTACTCATACATAGATATATGAAAGTGTCCGTCAGTAAGCCTTGTATAAAAAAAGAAGAAAATTGCGATTCATATCTGAGAAGTATAGTTTAATTATAAAACTTTTAATATGTATGATGATGTTCTCAATCGCACTTATAATATATTAACCAATTTGAAGAAAACTTAAGTTCAAAATTGATCAATAATATGTAGTGTTTTTATAGATAGCATTTAAGTTAATAATAAACCTAGTAAATACTTACAGATGCAATTTCTGAAGAATAAACTGGTACAAATGCTAGTGTGAAACAATCACAGAATATCCATATTGCTCTCGCTATTATCAACATCCAAACTTCAGTAACAAATATACAAGATATGGCTGCACATAGTTTAGGCATTGATGCAAGTATGATGGAGTTTTTGCGACCAATTTTGTCCAGTAGAATTCCTCCGAGGAAACTTGCTTAAATATAATAAATTTACAATTTAATAGAATAAAACTTCAATAACACAATAAGTTAAGGTTTACTGGGTAGTTAGATTTACGTATATAAAGACGTTATATTTATTAAATCACTATCTTTTTATACAAGATTTTTTTTAAAGTAATAAACACTTAAATATTTAGGAATTCTATATCCGCACAATGCATACAAAAGCACATTTCTAAAAGGAGAAAAGTAAAGAAAATTAATTAATAGTTATGGATAAACTATTGAGACGCGAAAAATTAAAAAACTTAATAGACTGAACTCACTGGCAACACCAAGCAAAAATCCACTAGAAACAATCCACGAGCCTTCGTTTTCTGTGATAGGTCTAGCAAAAGGAGTGTCTGTTCCATTTTGAAGTTTCACGATGGCAGGTGACGGCCAAGATAGACTCATTCCCGTTGTTAGGACGCCAAGGTTTACTAGAATAGGTAATATACTGTTAAAAAAAAATGTTGTAAATGAAAGTAATATTATGTTACTTCATAATCAAACCACGATTTTTACTTAAAAGTAATTTATTTAATGAATTTATCTTTTAAGAGAATGCATGCATTCATAGAATAGAATATTTTCTTGTATTAGCTTAGGATGGTCCTTTCCTACTATTCCATTTCAATTTACTCAAAAATTTGGTCTTAGATGGTAAACTATTCTGTCATCTCTAAGAGAAATCCATATTAGACAAGTCAGGAAATACAAATATAGGTAAACTGGGTAGATCCTTTTCAGTGCACATGTGGAAGGAACGAATACGACTTTTTTTGTTACGACTGGCTTGTCCACGACTATCATTGCAACTGTTAGTTAGTAAGTGGAAATGAGGCCATAGATACTGAACGCAATATCTCAGTGACAGTCTATACCCTTTAGAGTTGAAGACATAAACATTGAAACCGCTGTGTTTCTACTTTTCCTATGATGGGGGATGGAATGGGAAAAGTAATGCAGGAATTAGGACGTGGAATTCCTGTTCATATTCTTCAAAGTTTATCCTATAAAATAATTAGGGGTTGGATGCTTTATGTTTATGCTTGCTTAATTCATTTGAACCAAGATTTGTCACATAAGCGTTTTTATAAATCTCTCAAGATATTTAACAGCACCTACAAAATATTCTAGACATAACATGACCTATAATTTTTAGAAACAAAATATTGTTCTGTCATACTGTAGCCGACATTTCCTTGTAGCTATCTGAGGCTTAGACCCAGTTTCACCAATCAATGGTTGTTTAGTCTAATCACAGCATTTACTAACCAACCTTCAAAATTATAAATGTTTGTTAAAATATTTACGTCCCACAATGACAAATTAACAACGCATTATTAAACGTCGTGATCAAATGACCGACTACCAAATTATTTGTTCTTGTTATAAGACGACCAAGTGGAAACTATAGCGTTTAACACGGCACGTTTGCCATGATGGACCACTTTATACTTTGATCGTATATATACCTCGATACGTCACTTGTAAGCTAATGCTACCAAATTTTATATATCGTTGGTTGAAGAACACACAAGAATGCTTTCTTTTCAATTTACTAGGTGTTACTTGTCAAAATCGTGTTGTTAATAAATTGTGTTATATATTATTGTGTTATGAATATACAGGGTGACTGGTGAATTACTATCGATATTTGAGGACGTGATATTTGACGATCATATATGACAAAATAAAAATTAATATAACATAAATATTAATAAACTTCTAAGTAAAGTTAACCAAAAGTTATGTTATTAATTACGCATCGTGTGAACACCCTACAGATTAGGTATACACTCACACTCACACATACGCGTGTCGCGACGTGGTGTTGTATCAGCACGCCGCCGCACGCGTCCACACTTGACCACTTGGAACGTGTCAACACTTTACTTATTTATACGGAAATTTTGTCAAAAATTAAGTGCCTATTTTTTTTACATAATTCGAATGAGAATCATGTACCGAGTATTCTCCTTAAATATTGATAGTAATTCACCAGTCACCCTGTAGACATAAATTGTGTTCAAATTATAAGAAATAAAAAGAAAACTTAATTTTCAATGTTATAGAAAAGCTGGAGGCAAAATGATCATACTAAATGAAATTTTAATTCACTTTATTAATAATAACAAGGAAATAGTCGAAACTGACAAAACAGATGACGTTACTATGGTTACAAAAAATCAGGGCTGTGATTGGACAATTGAGTTTTGACAGTGCCATTAACATTGGGTTAGTCATTTGGCCGACCGCTAGAGCAGGAATTAATATTAGTGGCTGGTTAAGACATTTAAACGGACATTTGTGCGTGGTTTGACACTCGATACATCTAACAGAGCATCAAACGCCTTAACCCGATGTTACTTATAGTAGGGGAGCCCACGATGCTAAATGGGGATTTACTCGAGCGTCGTAGAGACCTATTGGGATGCATAGCTTAGATGATAAAAAGAAAAAAAAGTTATTTGATATATTCCTTTACATCGGTGGGGGAAGCGGCTATAGATTTTTAAATATGTAAAAAAAAACTGTTGCATGGACATCCTCGAGCGCGTCAGATATTGATAGCATCAATGCCCTACGTATTTTTAATAATGTACGTATGTTAATCTGATCGTTTGAATGATGCGGGTGGTTGTATTTAAGGGTTGAAAATGAACAAAAAAAAAAATTTTGTCGAGCGCGTCAGATTTTCTAAGGGAGTGTTAAGTGCACCAAAAAAAAGCTCTCATTCACTAATCTGACGATTTCGATGGGACGCAAACTCGTGGCCATTTTCATAATGTGCAAAAAAAATCGCTATTTTGAAATACTCAAGCGCGTCAGATTAAGATATATATGGTTAATATTTATGTTCTAAGCGTACTGTCTCATAATCTGACGATTATGTAGAGGGATTCGCCTAATCTGACTAAAAAAAATTAGAAAAACGGTTCAACTTAAAGGCCATTCCTGCAACTTCTCGCTAATTCCATTCCTGGGCGCTTAAAATTGTACTTATGACATTTTTGAGCTTAAAATATAATTTATGTGATATTTTGAGCGCGCTGAGTTCAAAAAAATAATATTTCTATGCATTTGAGCTCTCCCATCTCGAAAGTCTGACAGAAGTTTCATAGAACACTATTTTTGGAATTTTGAAACCGCAATAAATTTTGAAAGGAACAACCGATTTTCACACGGTTGGCGGCATTCGACGCAGTTTTATCATCCTCATAAGTAATTTTACAATTAAACAATTTAATTAACAGAAACTAGAGTGGGATCGGAGTGAGAGTGTAATAGATAGAGAAAGAGAGAGAGGAATAAAAACGCGGAGAAGGAAATGTAGGCATCACGCAGCTGCAAGCATTTAACTTTATCGACTAATTTTTGTTATTTCGGCTTGTGGAAATCGTCAGATTATATATTTTTCATTATTCTTGAATTATTTCCTTCAAAATAAAAAAAAATCAGCTACGCTCTAGATTGTCGAGATGACGTTTTTTTTTTACAACTTTGTTGCCCTCCCCTTTTTTTTCGTCACTCTCAAATTGTCAGATTAGTGGAATATACACTTTTTAGGGTGTAATAAACTCACCCTACCTTAATCTGACGCGCTCGAGAATTTCTGATGGTCAATTTTTTTTTCTAATCTGATCCTGTATCCTTCACGGGCGGCTTTACATATGGGCCTCATGTTTTGTGGAGGTACTTAACTGGGTACAAGGTATCCCCCTGTATATTAATCTGCCGCGCTTTAGTAAATCCCGAAATCCCCTCTTGGGCTCCCCTACTATTATTTAACCATGATTGGTGAAACTGGGTCATAGGCAAAATGGACCGCGAGAAATTAAAGTTCGAAAACACCTCAATACCCAAAAACTATTACTGATAATTTATTGCTCCCAAATCCGTTTAGGAAACAGTTCCATGGTTTTCTCTATTGAAAAAAATATATATTTTAACTTTTATGTACTTAACTTTTAACTTAGAATAAAATAATACCATTTCTTTTTATTTTAACTTGGAATAAAATTATACCATTCCTTTTTATTAAAAAGAAATGTACTAGAATATTATTCAAATAATATTTTCCTAAGAAAATTTTAAGAAGAATAATAAGTTATGATTTTTTTTTATTTATTTGTTTAAAATATTTATTTTTAAATATTTGTCATTTATTTATTTTAAATAAAATGCAAGAAAATATGACCAAGTAAGTATATATTTTTTCTAAATAGCAATCAAGAATTTTATATATTTATTTGTAAGGTTATCAACGCTCAATATTAGCTGCGACCGCTATATGAGTTAGCATTGAACTAAACACCGTCAATTTCAAAACATTCCATTCACAAACCATCGGTAAGAAATATCCTTGAGACTTGGTACTCTGTTTAAATTGACTATATGCACATTCTAGATATTATGGGTTACGATCCACTGCAGTTTTGGTTATTATATAACTATTTGGTCATAAAATTTCAATGTACAATTTTAATTTATCCACACACTACACACAACTAGTACAGTTGCTATAGTACGATCTCGCTTTAGTGAGTATTTTGTACGACTTAAAAAAATATGTAGTCCTCAAACTGTACGTGACCACTGCAGGGACGAAAAAAATTTAAAGAAAACTACATTCTCTTCATGTTTGGTTTGTATAAATAAAGAAAATGAACTTTCTGCCTTGAAAATATGGAGATATTAAAGATTTAGGACAATGCATTATTGAATGAACTATTAATTTTGTGTCCTTATCTTCGATTATGTAAAAATACGAAATAAATTATTTTTTTTAAGCGTGGGTCCAAAAATGATTTCTACGACCTTTGCGAGTACAAATTTCAAATGAAGCAATTTCCCTTTTTACCGACGATTCAACTTTTTTGTTGTAGCCGAAATTACTTCCATCCGTGCACATTTTATCTCGTCTACCCGTGATCACGGTTGTCGAAACCTCGGTAAAAATGTAAAATAATTGAAGAAAAAATTAAACCCTAAAATGAAGCCGTTTAACATACAACTTAAATAAACACAGCCTATTTGACTACAAGATAAAAAAATATATATGTATCTTCCTTGTGTAAAATAAAAATATTGTACAAAACTTGGTTAACAATAAGAAGATACAAAGGTCAAAGCCATGGTCGATGATAGAAGTGAAAACAAATGTATTAGGATTTCTTTAAACTCCAAAACAATTACCTTATAACTTGCAAGTGATCCTTTAAGTAATGACTAAATAAAATCTCTCAAATAGGTACTGGTAAAAATGTAACTAGAGTCTTCTTTAAAAATAAATAAATAATCCATTATATTCCATTCGTTCCAAACTATTTCGTGTTTTCTATATATTGTACTCAAGATTATAGTTCGTCCAAAAAACAAAAGCGTTGACATTAGCAAAATATTCCACG